CTTCCCCATTGTTTAGTAGCAGTAAGACAGACAAGCTCAACGAGTGTACCCCAGTGGCCTAAGAAGGGGAAGCCAAACCGACAATAATACGTGAGGGAATGACCAATTACCGAAGCAAAACACAGTAAGATTCGCGATGAAGAACAGAGATTTTTGGGATAAGAATGTTCAATTCATGCTTAAAAAACAAGGCAGAAAGAAAGAAGAAACCTCCAAATCAGCAAATTGTAACGTCCGATACTGTTCGATACAGTGTTAAGAACAGTCCGAATCACTCCAAAACAAGATAAATCAAAATTATGATGAGCAGACACAATTACACACTGTAATTTAGGTTTTGAAGCTGCAAAAGAATTGTGTCCACTCAATCACCGTTGAAGAGTACAAATTCTACTGAAAATGACCAAGGCCCGCTGTTTCAGGAGAGAAATCCTGAATCGTATTTTACACGGAGAAAATTATGCTGTCGGTTCAATTGACAACATACATATAAATTTTAGCCCCAACTTAGCTTCTATTATCACTCAACTATTGAATCAACCGATCATGTATGCATATCAATACTCGAATATCGCTCTTGATTTTAGCTATTCATTCTATATTTCGATTATTAATATAAATGGTATGAATTGTACACCAATATTTCACTCAAATTTAAAAAATAACTTTTATTCGAGAATAGGATGGTTGGGAGAGCATCTCACTTAATTAAATAAATGTATACCAATATTTTCAATGGCTAATTTAGAGAAGGAAATCTGTTTATAATTAAAAAATATTATTTCCATTAGTCTAAAATTAAACTAATAAATATATTTTTAAATTTTCAAAATTTCTGTAATACCCTAAAATATATATTTTATTATTATTATTATTATAATTAGTTTGGAATAGAAAAATTAGTATTTTATTTTAAAAATATTCTTAAACTTTTAATAATATTTAAAAAAATATAACAATTTTTAAAATAATTCCTTAATACCCTTCTTGACTTTTTTTAGTTAAAAAAATATATTTACAGTTAATACTTTCCTTTAAATAAATAACTATAAAATATTAAAGTCAGCATTAACTTTCTTAATTTTTATTAAAAAAAAATATTCCTATCCATAATGACATATCTATTCACATCTCTGATTTCATAAATTATTTTCGAAATAAAGTTTTTTAATAAAGTCAAAAGTATATTATATTAATAAAAATTTTGAAAATTTAAAAGATATTTTGAATTTAAAAATATTTTTTAAGCTTTTCCGTCCGAATTTAATCCTTAAATTATATTATATTTAAACTTTTGTAAAAATTTAAGTATATTATTTTTAGATATTTAAAAAAAAAATCCGGTCCATTTTTTAAGATAAAAATACGAAGTTAAATTATATTTTTATTAATTTATTTTGAAACCTTTAACATTAAATAGATTTCAACGAAAATAACTTCAACAGTCGAGATTGGATTTTGATTCTTAGTAAAAAAAAAATGAATTACTCGATATTTTCAACTTCCTCCCCCAACTTTGACATTTACATTCCACTGGTTTTTCCACCCGCCACCCGAGTGGGTTGTAATGGCGAGAAGGTAAATATTTTATGGTCAAAGACCAACCAGCATCAAACTATTGTCGACATGGCACATTGGTCAACGACAATGTGTGTCACGTGCCTACGATTCTTATCGTGTTTTTAAATTTAAAATTGGCCCCTAGTTGGTCGGCACTTCAGTGCATCCCTACTACATGACGATGTTACTTAATAATGCATGACATGATAACATTGACTACATGATCATGTTAATGCATGACATGACAACATTGACTAAAAATTAATTTTAAAATCAATACTATTTCTATAGATCACACACAAAGTCATTTTAGTGCGTCTTAATATAATATACATTTTAATATAAAGTAAAGTAATTATATTTAATTTTAAGTATTAAAAATAATATTTAATACATTTGATATCCTAACTACAAAAGACAAAATATATTTATTTTACTTTATTCGTCGACAATTAAAATAATTAATATATATTATGTACTTAAATAAAAAAATATAAGTTTTAAGTTTGAACTCAAATTGATATAGAGATATTTAGCGACATTTATGCGTGATTTAGTCATAAAATATCGTAATTAATTATTAAATTTTATTATTTTATTTATAATTTATTACTATCTGTGGTATGCAAATCTAATGTTATAAGTATAATCTTAATATGTGGTTGACATATAAGATAGTGATGTTCAAATAATAACCTAAAAGGTTTATAGTATGTGGTTAAGGTTGGGTGTCTTATCCTAGTAACACTATTGATACAACTCACTTTGTAATCGTTACGAATGATTTGATCCAAATTGTTCATGCAGAGATATGTGAGTGAGAGTATTATATACCGTGAATTTGTATAAATTTTAACAAAAAAATATTTAATATCTCTTTATAAATTCGTTAATTGGTAAGATTAATATTTCACACTATGATCATATGTTATTCAATCTTAATCTCGAGTGAGTTGTAAACTTTTGTCTATGAGGACTTAACTTTTAATTTGTATAGGCGAGCATGGCTCTTGTAGTCAATTAAATATGTCTACCACGTTGGAGACTTAACTAAATAGGGAGTTACGAACATATCATCATAAGATATAATTCACTCATTTTAGGGACTTAACCAAATAGGAAATTGATAACATAATATAACATCATTAGATATAATTCACTTATTTCCATACAATGAAAGTTGATGAATTGTTCTCCTAAATACTAATTTCGAGACATAAACAATAGGCCCCACCCTCTTATTGGCAACTCGGTTTATGATTGTATTATAAACAAATTGTTTATTAGATAATCAGTGGTACTTAAAGTGAAAGATGTAATTACATGAGTAAACGAACTTTTGACCAATTTGTAATTATGAAAAACTCGTGAATGATTGATTTGTTTATAATTATTATATTAATGGATATAACTTACATACCGTGCATAATAATGCAACTCTATACAGTAGAGGGACTTATAGTTAATGAATAAAAATTGATTAATTAATTAATTTTGTATGTACATACGATCTCCTAGCCCATAATAATAAGATTCCATTTATTCGAAAGAAAAATTTGATGAGTTGAAATTAATATTTGATATATTAGATACATTGAAATATAAAAATATATTGATTATATTTGATATAATTAATAATTAATGTACGTTAAATAAAAATATATTAAAATTTGAATGAGATTCAATTTAATTAAATATATATTATTATAAGATGATTGGAATAATAAGATATTATATCTTAACCTATTAGATATTTAAATATAATATTTAACAAATATTTATGATAAATAGGGTCTTGACTTAAGTCAAACACACACTAATCTCTCCCATGTTTTTTTTAAACTCCCTCTCAAGACAATTCTTTTGAAACTATCTTTCTCCAATCCGTTCGGATTCTTTCAAGAGACTCCCACAAGCCTTGACCCTACGTTCGAGTCAAAGGAAGAAAGATTTTGTCGTTCTACCTCATAATACTTGTATACGTCTAGCATTCTAAAGTTTCAATAGTAAAGTTGTTACTTTCATATTTATTGTTTTTTTTTTAAATAAAATTAAAATAGTTTCTAATGCTTTTTCGTATATGGATGAGAAGTTCATTCCTTTTAACTTAAACATGATATAATAAAATATTAAAATATATTATTTCAAATTTGCAATATGATATCACAAAGTTCGTATAAATAAGATTATTGGGTTGAGCCAAATAAATCACTCCACGTGTCTATCTTATCTCAAATCTTCAACCAAGGTTTAACAACGTCGTGACGTTTATAAATATTGGGATTGTAAAATATTTAATTGAATCCATCGTTATATTTTACACTATCTACATTTTTTTTCCTTAATTATTTAACATAGTTAAGCTTGAAATTAAATATTATTTTTTTTATCGCTCAATTTTAATTAGTTTCAAAATAAAATCTAATTTCCAACGTAATAATTGGTAATAGAATAAAGAATGAAATCATTATTTTTGATAAATATATATATATATGGTTAGTTATAGTAGTTGTTTCTAATAATTTTATTGCATTAGACTCGAGGTTGTTAGTTAGTATTTTCAATTTGATTTAATTTCTATTCGAGTTAAGGATATCAATCTTGAATCACATATCGACTAATACTTTCATATTGATCCTGACATAGTCACATTATTTATTTTTTGCGATATACTCGTTATTCAGTATAGGATTGCTAGAAGTAAAGTACCCTTATTTAAAGTCCAAGGTGCAAATTGTTTGTATATGGAGTCTGTTATGATATTTTGCTTATTTTTAGAAATTGGTTGGTACTATATTTTATATGATTTCCAGATTAATATTATATTTTCTCTTATCTGTAGATTTAGTTGGTAGCTTTATCATATTTAAAAGGTTAAGGGTTGTGAACGTTAATGAAAATTGCACTTTTAATTGACAATTGGACAATTCAATAAGATATTATTTGGTTTTGACCGTATGTTCGTTAGCCTCACGATTTTAAAACAGTCTACACCTTTCCAAGGAATGCTTTGTTTTCCTCTACTACCCAGATGAGTCTCACAATCCACCCCTATTGGGGCCAAGTCATCTTGACACATCACTTACTCAATGTCGGGCTCATATATCATTTATAACAACTCAAGTCCACCACTAATAGATATTATCTTAGGCCCACATATAGCCGTCACTCTCATGATTTTAAAACATGTCTATCGGAGAAAGATTTTCACACTTTTATAACGAAATGAATATGATTTCTGATTTAAAAGGATTTAAAAGGAAAATTTAGAGTTAGAATCATGACATTTTGATTGATAGGATAATAGTGTAAGCAGTTGAGGAACAAGTGTTGGAATTTTAATGTGATGGTATAATTTATAAATGATTAATTGATTTAAAACTAAAATTAAATGACATCCAAAAATTAGCGGTTCAGACCGTGGACCCAAGGCTTCACTGTTCTTCATCATTCGCCTGGACCGGCCTTCTCTCCCCTCGGGGGCACAAAGGGCGAGGGGAGATGATCAAAAAATGGGAAGCGGGAATCGCAGAATTTGGCACCCAAAATGCAGCGCCAAACTCCTCCATTTTTCAATCACAGGTCTGTGTCCGTACATCCATCGGGGGTGCTGCGCCTCTACAAGTGAACACACGGCTCTCGTTTTTCAAACCCCGCGCCCATTCACTTCCAAGCCTCAACTGTTGGCGCCACCGCCATTTCTTCGGCTTCTAAAATCCCTAAATCCCTTCTTCTTCGCCATCTACATTCTGCGCTTCCATTTCCCTTGCATTGAACTCACTATCGATCTCTTTCCGTGCGTATTCCCTGCTTTTATCTGTTGTTTAATGGCGTTTTTCAAGCATTTCATTTGTTCTACTTTTTTTTTTTTTAGCTTTATTCATCCGTTCTTGTTGTGTGTTCTTGCAGATTTATGAATTTTTGAGCGAACATGGTTGTGAAGTCTCGGGTACTACACTCTGCTGTCAATGGAGAGCTGCATTCTCCTGTAACTCCCGAGGAGAAGCCGAAGAGCCATAAAGTAGCTACGCATGGGCGAAAGAATGCTAAAGCTGCTAAACCGGAGGGAGATGCGGAGGAGCCATCTCCTTCTCCACAGAGGAGGACGAGTGCACGAATCCAGTTGAAGCAGTTGGCTGAGAAGAAGGAGCTCTTAGCGCGTCAAAGAGTAGAGGTGCTTGATGAACCCGAAAGTGCCAGCAAAAGGAAGAAGACGAATGGCCAGGTAAAAAGTAAGCGTAATACTACTCCGAGTGTTGCGGAAGAGGTGGTGGAAGATAAGGCCGTTGCTGTTCCGGTATCCAATGACGTCGCTGAATCTAAGGACGGTGATGCGAGCGAGCCATTGGAACTGTGTGCGTCAGAAAAGAGTAGAACTGGCGACGAAGGTGGTCCGGCTAATATAGTTGAGAAGAGTGACCATGCCAAGGTGAAGGAGACACTCAGGTTGTTCAACAAGTACTATCTTCATTTTGTACAGGTTCGTCATGGGGAAATGTTACGTTGCTTGAAGCCATTTCTACATGTTTGCTCATTGAAGTTTATGGCCGGCTAACTTTTGATTATTGTATGTTCATCTAAACCAAAAGGAAGAGGAGAAGAGGTGCAAAAAAGCAGAAGTAGCTCAAAAAGCTTCCAAACGATCAAAATCTGAGGTAGGCTTGTGAGTCGGCCTTCTATAATTCATGCAAGCCATTCATAGTCTTTCTCTGAATGTCCTACAGGATGAATTTGACGAAAATTGACGTCTATATCAGACTGAATAAATGCCAGCGTCTGAATTCTCTCATCTCGCATTAAATAAAATCCAAGGACCAATGCTATGTTCATCATTAATCTTTGAGTTCGATTTTTTTTTGTTTTTTTGCGGGGTGTTTAAATCAGTCTCTCGTTTCTATGTTTCGGATCACTTGGAACGGGCTCTCTTTGTCTCAATCCAAAAATATTTGTCCAAGAAAGACTAATTGCTAATTACTTGTAATTTGTACAGGAGGCACCTGCCGAAGACACAAAACACAAATCTAAGCGACCGGATTTGAAGGCAGTTTCAAAGGCAAGTTGTAATTGCACACATGAAGCCTCTAGAACTTTTTCTTTTTGGCAATACTTCATTAATCATTGCTCAACCCATGCAGCGTTCAATCTAAGATTCCGTTAGTGATCTATCATCCAATTTTGTTTGACTGATTTGTTGTTTGTGCACATCTATTTATAGTCTCTCGCTCTAGGAACAGAAAAAGTATCAGTATAACTCTTCCTTTTGGAATTGATAGGAAAAGGCTACCGTTTACTCCTATAATTTACAGAGTTGCCACGTTGATACAATATTTGTCCACTTTAGACAAAACAACTCTTGATTTAGTTTTTGGTTTCACCCCAAAAAATCTCATATCAATGGAGATAGTTGTCTCTATTCATATATCTATGCTATTTCCCTTATCCTGCAATGTGAGACTTTAGTCACACTCCCAACCGAGGTTGCATTCCACTGATTTATTTATTTTTGGTAAAATTATATTTTCAGAGTAGCTATTCAAAGGGTTATTGGAGTACCAAAACAACTTTCAACTAGTCATAAGGAAAGGAGGGAAAGTAAATGTGAAAGAGGACATTGAGTTAACATCTTCCAAAAAGGATGCATTGAAGTTTAGGACTATTTGGAACATCATTCCTCTCTTCCTTGATGTCACTAAAATGACTTCCTAACATTTGAAGAGGTGGCCGGCAGCAACATTTCAAGTACAAATAACCAAAATCTTATGAATAAATGTGAGACAATCCTTAGGTCCCAGGGCCTTGAACCATTGACCTATTTGTTTGAAATTGAGCTCTTTGAAGTGGGATCCCAACCCTTTTTAGGTTTGGGAATGTGGGGTTATTTCATCCAGTCTTTTAAAGTCTCATTCTTGGTGTGGTGTAATGGTAGAGTGTTTGGTAAGTGGGAAGGGTATTGTTTAATGGAAAAACTTTCCTCCCTAGTGGGGATCTTAAAAGATTGGAAATTAAAGAAACAAGAGATCTTGGAGAGAGGTTTTTGAATGCAGTTTCCAGGGAGGAGCGAATCAAGTTGATTGAGGATTTTGAGGAGCTTGTTACAAGTGAGGTCATTTGTTGGGGACAAAGGCCCAAGGTGAAATGGGTTAAAGAAGAGGATTGCCGTACTTCATATTTCCATAGAATTACGAGTGGGAAGTATTATAGTCTTTATAAAACAATAAGGGTGAGATTATGAGGGGGACAAGGAGGTTGAGAAGGAGATTGTGTTTTTTTTTGCACTTTTGTACCCCCTTATCATTTTGAGACCCTTCTTGGATGGTTTAGTCTCTTAAACTTTTGCAGAGATAAATGGGAGTTGGAAGCTCTTTTCCCTAGTATTATATTTGGCTCTCAAGGACTTTATTTTCGGAAGACAAAATTTTGATCAAGTGCTTAATATTAATTTTTTTACAAGAGACAAACTTTTTATTTGATCGAGTACTTAATGCTATTCAGGTGATTGAGGACGAAGCGTTATCTTTAAATTTGATTTTGAAGAGGCTTGTGACTATGTAAGACTGAAACTTCCTTGATAAGGTGCTATGGAAGAAAGACTGGTGTTTTAAATGGAGATCTTGAATTTGGACTTGTGTCAAGACGGCTGAATATTTCCTTCTTATCTATGGCAAGCTGCAAGTTAAGAAGTAGAATTTTTGTTTCTTGAAGCTTGAGAAGAGGACACCCCATTTTCCTTTTTCTTGGTCGGTTGTGAATATCTTTAGTACAGTGGTTTCGAGGAGGTGTTCTTGATGGTTTTCAGGTGGGTGGAATTACTAATCCTTATCACATCTTCAATTAGCTACACGTGGGTGCTCAATCATTAGTATTAATTGTGATTCATCTAAATTGGCTGGCGTTTATAATGGTGGGTAAAGGTGTATTTGGTACGTAAACTAAAAAGAAATATTTGAAAACAAAGGATTCAGTGAGAAGCAAAGTTTGCAACTCATATTTTCAGCATTTTCATTATGTGTTTGGCAGCTAATTTAGATGCTGCATTTGATTTTAAAATTTGTTAAAAGTATGTTTGGTAATATAAAAAGTAGTGGAAGTCACCAACTATCAATTTTGAGAGGAAATATTAATTTTCTTATTTCCAAAAAATAAAAGCGAGAACACCTTATGTAGAGGTCATACCTATTACAAAATAAGGAAACTATCATGATAATCTAATTTATGATTTAATTTGATGTCCCCTCACTCATTTTGCCTTTTTCTTATTTCTAAAATCTACTACAGATGTTGGAGGCAAATGAAATTTTGAACCATGAGAAAAGAATTGGCAACGTTCCAGGTTGTGTTTTGCTCTTGAAAATATTCTCTTTTACTGTTTTTTTGGCCTTGTTTGTGGTGTATGGATGATGGGGGATAGCTTCGTGGTGCACTTATGAAAATGTTTGAAAAATCAAATAGTTTTTGTTGTCACTTTCAGTTTGAGTCAAAATCTACCTTGACCGCACAAGGGCTATCCCTAAATTTGCTTTGTCTGACTCCTCTGCTTGGACTATTCTTCTTTGTATGTTTCTTCTTTTTTACTTTATTTGTCTTAATGAATGCTAATCAAGTAACAAGTAGTCTGAGTAGATCGGAGTAACTAGCACTAACCATGCATGGTCCTTATTTAGGAAGAATAACCCTATGCTAATGAGATTAATAGACCTCTTTTAGAGTAGATAATTCATGAGGTCAGTGCAATATTGAAATTCTAGTCATTACTTGATAAGCATTGGTCCCAATTCTTATGGAAAATGCAGAATTCAACACCCCCCCCCCCCCCCCCCCCCCCCCCCCCCCCCCCCCCCCCCCCCCCCCCCCCCCCCCCCCCCCCCCCCCCCCCCCCCCCCCCCCCCCCCCCCCCCCCCCCCCCCCCCCCCCCCCCCCCCCC